CAAAGAGTCTGTAACTATGGCCGCAAATCGTTAGATTGACGTGAAACCCGTAACGCGAAATGGGTAAAGACCACATGCTTTGTTTCTGCAGGCCTGCAAAAATGTGATGAAAGAAACAGGACAGGACGATAACTGCTATTCCACCTGATTTATTGCTGTTCTGATGATGAATAAAAGACTTCTTGCTTGTTACACTGTGTCACCTCATTCAATTTGTGTCCTAACATCTGTCGTCTCTTAGTATATTTCTAATCTAGGCATCTTGTTTTTTAGGGCCCTACTTGTTTTTTTTTCGCCCTCTCGCATTAGATCTAGGGTCTCCAAAGGACGTCATCCATAAAATTTACGTGGTGTGGCCTAAATCTACGTATGCGGTCTGCTGGGGTGAAAGCGCTGTGGCTTGGAAAAAATCCGCATACTTGTGCTCTTCATCGTCGCTGCATTTATTTCTAGTGCTCAAATCCTACAGGATAAAGTTCTGTGCACTTACGTGCTTGAGATTTAGTGTTATTGTTGTTTTTATTGTTGTTATCTCCACCAAGGTTCTCCTGCGCTTAGCGTGAGTGATAGACAATGGCGACGCCTTACGGACCAGCTTAAAGTTAGCATGAAGATAACATTGAAGATGTCTTGAAGAAGACGACAAGATACGTAAATGATGACTATTGAACGCTTTTAAAGAGGAGCATGCGGGGTCTGAGTGAGTGAGTGAGTGAGTGAGTGAGTGAGTGAGTGGTGAGTGAGTGAGTGAGTGAATGAGTGAGTGTATGGGTGAGTGGGTGATTGGATGAGTGAGTGAGAGAGAGAGTGAGTGAGTGAGTGAGTGAGTGAGTGAGTGAGTGAGTGAGTGAGTGAGTGAGTGAGTGAGTGAGTGAGTGAGTGTAAACGAAGAGGTATCCCACAGCCAAGGATCCCGACCTTCTGCACGTAAAAAGGAGCGCTGACCACTTCACCATATATTTTCCACACTAGTACACTAATGCTTTGACGCGTCACTAAAGTTTGTAAGTTTAGTTGATCCTCATCGATCCTGAGTCTCTTCTATTGATATTAATGATGGATTACAACCTTAAGACAGGAAAAGTCCGATGCTGTACCACGTAGTCTTATTGGGATTACACGCCACGCGCATTCATATCGATTTGGGCTCTGTTTCTCGAAAAAGAAGAAAATTTCCCTCCTTTGGATCGATGTGTAGATATACGTGACCCATCTTGCACGCATCGTTTCTTCCATCCCCAAACCTTCATGGACATAGGAGCTAGATTACATACATATAGTCACTATCTTTAGTTAAATATTACGAGAGAGAAAGAGAAAAAAACTATGGCCAGATTCACTATCACAAAATCCATTCTTTTCAAACATTTCACGTTATATGGAGTCCTTCCCATGTAATGTTACATACCCGACAAAGTAGTGGGTCATTTGCCTTGACGAGGGCCATACACTGTTATATTATACGCGACGGACGAAAATTTGGTGAGCTGATATTTTGTTGACGTTGTGTTGGAAGAAATTTGTTTATCGGTCACAGTGACTTCCCTGCCTTATATCTCTTCTCGTGGTTCGCAATGAAGTATACAACGTTGTACATGCAACTAGGGATGAGGCCACATCTAATGCGTCATAATTTATGCTATCAAGCTTCTCTAGCCTCAGGGCGACCGGAAACCATCGATAGATGGCCGGGTTGGGTCACTGCGACAGACATCCCCAAAGGCAAGCATTTCCGACCACCCAGGATACGAGATTGCCATCAGACTTCAATATAAAACCATGTTATGGCAAGAAGATGTATGCCGGGGCCAAGTTTATTTCGAACTTCGATGATGAAAGGACCACAAACGTTATAATGGAAAAAAACTGCGCCCGCAGTCCATCAATATGATATACCTCCTGGGCTGTGAAGAGAAGAGCTTGGCGAAGTACAAATATAACATTGTAAGTACATTTTTATCTGTTCATTCGTTTAGCTGAAGATGTACAGCCAAGGCTGCTCAACTATCACGGGGCTATTATCAAGGGCAAACCTAGAGGATAATACGAGACGGGGGTTCGCCAGGCCTCCTTCATGGTGATTTGTAGGCAATCACCAACTCCGGACTATAGAATTCGCACCATCGCACACTGGAACATGTCCCTACATTGCAAGTACATTATACAGATAACTTCATCGCACAACAGTTGTACAGGGTACAAAGTATGGCATCTACCAAGTACATATCAACTACCAACATTGAACCGCGACGGGGGCCGACATCGTCTACCTTTGACCCAGTGTTGACGTCACACTTCAAAGAAGCCACGTGACAAGCTTCACTGGGTCAGTCTACTGAGGAAGACCAGAGTGACTGGTCGAAAGCTCTAGGTAAGAGAATTTTTTTTTTTAGTTGGACCAAAAGTTTTAACTTTAAACATGTAACTACCAACACAGATGAACTTTCATGATACATATCAACTACATTCTCATGTACTTAGTAGCCGCGACCGGGCTCACCAGGTTGCCGGCTGTTACCGACTCGTACCATTACTATCCAGTCTATCTGGCGAATTTCTACTATTTTCCGGTAACCTAGCCTGGTAGAGGCTAACCTGGGAACAATCCTATCAACATTATATGAACATGATGTACACATATATGCCAGGCCTGATATATGCAGTGCAGTTTGTAAAAGGTCGTTTAGCATCATCATCATCATATTCATGAATGACTTCCAATAGTTCCTTATGAAGAATGTAAAAATGAACTGAACTATGCTCAGACTCTTCGTATGACGTTAGAAATCTGGGTCAAAACTTTGCGCTACAATAAACTATTGCAACTATGTAATTGTGTTTCCAAATGTTTCAAAAAGATAGAAGAAAGGACAACTAACAGTAGATGATAGGTAGTTTATAGTATTATTGTAATGTATAGATTCCTAGCACTTTGCATTAGAATATAGCGTACCAGTATGAAATACTCATGTTTTACATACTGGACATCCTCTTGTACATTTAGCCCATCTGGGCAAGAACATGCAATAAAGATTCATATCATATATAAAAGCTTACTGTTATAGAGACATGGATGACACAATACAGAAAACATTACTGACGTAGTACTATTACAGCTATAAAACATTACTGTCACTTTTATAGAGATAGATGACGCAGTGGAGGACAATTCGCTGGCGTCCTTGGAACTTGAGTTGATTAGGGACGTGAACAAGGTGAGGTATGTTAATGTCTCTCTACGTAATTACGTTAGTACGAATTAAGGAGGTTCTATTACATATAATGGTCCCCACAACGCAAAAATAGGTACTAGATATATAAAGGAATGCTTTGTTATTAGAAAAATTCCGAAACTTGTGATTAGCCCACTCGATTGTAACACTTCATCAAAGACTTGTGCTATCCCTTATTATTTGAATAATTATGATATAGATTTGTTAGGTTTTATTCGACATTAGGTCTTGTTCAACACACTTATTTTATTGTTGTTACTTTCTTTATGTAGTTTGCCATACATTGTACCATGTGCAATTGTCGTGCAATAAAGTTGGCCAGTCTGTAACCATTTCCCCACCCAAGGGTTACAGACTGGCCAATTTGATACTGTCTTACTCCCACCAAAAGATCTGCTTGGAGATTACGTACGTCAACGATACTAAAGCGTACAAATAACTTGTTAACTCTTGGTTAACTCTCACAATACGTGTTGTTATAACCAAGTTATTTTGTTATAACAAAGTTATGGCCATACCGGCCCCGTGACTGATTTGGTCTTTGAAACCATGTTAACGTTGACTGGTAACCCCCAAGTCCCCCCTCCCTCTAGAATACCACAGTGATGTTTGTCGACAAACCAGTATTTCAGAGTTGACAACTAGAACAAGCCACAGCAATGGTTTGCCCAAGTTAGTTGAACTTTACTTAACTTATCTGTGACATTGGCCTTGACGACGTGTATATAAATGTGTATATAACAAGGCAATTCAAGCGAGTCCATTGTGAGATGCACCCGTCTGGTTTACTTTTCAAAGAAACAAAAACATCACCTGGCTGTTCCATGTTACGTACGCTCCCCTTAAAGGGGTATATTGTAATCGTATCTTTACATGCTATGAATGTCCTATGTGGAAATATTTATATCTTATACATTGAATTTGAATATTTGTGCAGAATTTCGACAGATTGTTACACTTTTTTGCACGACCAAAGTCAATTTGTCTTTTGCGTAATTCACATGTAAAGGGAGGAATATCGTTGAACGGGATACCCAAACAATGCTACAAATTATTTAACGTCATGAAAGAACACATGCACATTTCTCAAGCGCACTGATCCCTGCTAGGAAGGGAAACGATCTAGACTTGTTCCAGAACACAGGAGAGTCTACAGAAGTGGAGTCACTTGGCAGAAGGTGTGTTTTTTTCACTTGTACTACAGTAGTAGCTCTACTACTAAATGTAGCTCTACTTCGAGCTTACGTTTTGGACATATGGTACTTTTCAATCATTCAGCGTTGACAGTACAAGCAGCAGAGTCCTTGCATTCTGCTAAGAATTTGCCATATAGCTAATAAACCATAACTCATTTCCCTGAAATAACTCACTGAAGGAAGTAGACTAGAGTGAATATTCGGAACAGTGTCTATCTATCTATTACACAGGGTTGGAAAGAACTCAGACAATAAATCTAACGTTAACATTCTTTGTGTAACATCATCTTTGCGGGGTCGTGTGGCGCAGCGGCAGCGTGCGCGACTCGGAATCAAGAGGTCCCGGGTTCAAGTCCTGGCATGCCACCGATCTTGTGCCCTTGGGAAAGGCACTTAACACGACTTTCCCCGCTAGACTCAAGTTAAAATGAGTATTGTCTGTCCAGTATTCGTTTCTATGTGCGGGACACAACACCAGCAACAGCTGTCTCTGTTCCGCGTGTATTGCACTGTTGCAATTTCCATAAATCAAATCAAATCAATCAAACATAATCTTTATCCGTAGAAAAGTATGAAGTTCTCCAGGCTGGTTCAGCGTGCAGCGTTGGGAAGATGCGTCCTTGTGTTGGTGGGATTTGCTGCCGGGATTTTCTGGTCCTCCCTGCTGAAAGCGGTGCCACTGACTCAGCAAGTGGCCGTGACACAACGCCGCGGTGCAAGCATGTTGCATGGACAGGCAAAGCATCGTAGTGCTCTTGGCAACATTCTCACTCAAGCTCAAAAGTACGTACTACCTATGCGGGTGTTTCAGTCTACTTGGTAGCCGACCATCGACGATCAAATTGACCTGCTTCTCAGCAGGCCAATTTGATCGTCGATGACCAGCTACCTTCTCTCGCCAATTAATACCCGTTTTAGTCCGATTTCTACGATTTATTCATGCTGCACAAGAAGTCTGTTGGAGACTAGTTTCAGTCACGGGATCCGAGACCTTGGCATAATTTAATTTCCGCCGTTTTGATGTGTCAAGTCATTGTGTGAGAAATGTTGGAAACGACTGCATCTACTACGTAGTATATACACTTAGTAGTATAGAAAAATCCATATTCCTTATGCCATTAGACAAACCACCCATCGAAAAACAGATCTGTACCTTTATCTCTACAATAACTGAAAAGCGAGGAGAAGTTGAATCTATATAACGATAGTAAGTTAATTTTGTATCTGTTAACCGTGTCCATTCATCTTGTTTTGTTGTGACCTGTACTTAGCCAAGTGTGGTAGAAATGTGCAATAAAGGTCTTCATTCATTCATTCATAAACAGTACATTAACATTAATATTCGGCCTCTCTGTAGATAAAATTCTCCAGCGATCCTATTTACAATGTAAAGAATTCTAAATGCTCCTATTGAATGAACCTGCTTTACGTAATTTTTACGAAAGTTGCAGTCGTTGATATATGTCCATTGTATTACTTGTTTCAGGATAGCTGATTCACAGACGAGTAGAAAACGTAAAATTCTGCTGGACTGTGGAGGAAACGTGGCTTCTACAGTCCAGTTGTTCAGAGAGACCTACCCGGACGGCAAGAACTACATCATACACTCCTTTGAGTTGGACGACAGACTGGCTCCGTATTTCGCTCCGTACTCCAACCACGTTCTGCACTGCCCGACCGCTGTGTCCAACAAGGATGGTCAGTCTTCAAAATCATGCATTGATGTATACACTACAATGTTTACAAATTCTTTCACATACTGGTAGTCTTCTATACCGGCCTCTCTCTATTTCCAGAGGATGGGCACTAACTCTAATTTTGCTGATGGTTGAACGTTTTAAACTTGCCTGTTACATGCATGTATGTAGGTAACATGACAGCGTATGCAGAGTCAGCTTGGTCGCCGGGAAAGGGAAAGACGAGCGGTACTGACATGCAGTGGGGAGGGGGAACCCTGTTCGCCTTCAAAAAAGAGATACAGGACAACATCACAGGAGGGTCCCGGAGGCTGACCTACCGACGGACGATCCCCACAGTCGACCTGTCCCGATGGATCCAGGAGAACACCGACGTAGACGACTACGTCATTTTCAAGCTAGACGTGGAAGGCGCAGAGTACGACATTCTGACAAAAATGTTAGAAGAAGGCACTTTTAGATGGATTGACAAGTACGTATTTTACATCATTCTATCGTATGCCATTTCGTGATGGCTTACACCAACGCTACGCCGCCATTTTTCCTTCTTCGCATCTTTGATGATCCTTTTGATTTTGATGCTCGATCCTAGTGTTTTCGACCGTATTTTCCCAGAAGTTCCAGCGTCAAAAATTACACGGACTAGCAAGGACCCTGTATAAAATCCTTGGGACTAGTAAAACGACTATGTCGGTTTCTTGCTCTACCTAACATTGACGTTGCACACTACGTTACACATTTAGGTACTAAATGTACCTAAATGCGGTATTCTACTGTGCACGATTTTTGGCGACGCCTCTGGGGCGGAGCCGTTGGTATAGTACTGCGATTGAGTTGAAAATATTCTAAGAATTCCACCAATGCATTCCCCAGGGAATTGCTTTTTGGCGATACCTTTTTGTTGATGCTCATCACTGTCGTTATGTGTCAGATATTATGGAGAGTATCACGGGTGGCAGACCATACCGGGATGGAACAAGGCAGACAAGGCACAACTCATCGAAGAGGTGGAAGCCAAGGGTAAGCCTCTGTTGAGATGGACGGGAGAAACCAGGACATATGAAGACTTCGATGCCATGCACCCGAAACTGGTAAGTTGATCATTTGAAAAACCATGGCCAGTGTTCCAGACGTTTACCTACTACTGCTACTGCTGCTGCTGCTGCTGCTGCTGCTGCTGCTACTGCTACTACTACTGCTGCCACTGCTACTGCTGCTGCTGCTGCTCCTACTGATACTACTACTACTACTACTGCTACTGCTGCTGCTGCTGCTACTGCTACTGCTACTGCTACTGCTACTACTACTACTACTACTACTACCGCTACTGCTACTGCTGCTGCTGCTGCTGCTGCTG